GTTTAGTGTTGTGTTATCGAACAAAACCTTGCCAGTCGACAAATCAGTACTGAACATGCTCAAACAAAACATCAATCATAAAAAATGATCAAGAATCGTTAATACAAGATAGATAAACTTACCAATGCAATGCCAACCATATCAGAGTTGTTGTCATCGTCCTCCATTATTCTATAAGTATCAACGAATGGTGAAAACGACCACAGATGTAGATAGAAATTTGATTGGAGAAACTTGAAATTTGTAATAGGATTGTTTGCAACGTTAACTGATTTGGAAACCCAAACACATTTGAAATCACTGATCAAAGCATTAACTAATTAGGTGGTTTCAAATGTTTTTCATTGAAGATGAATACGCGGGTGTATGATGGTGATGAAAAAAAATACGGTTAAAGTTTAGGTTGGTGAGGAAAACATATAGATGGAAATGGTGGTGGGTGTACAATATTGTAAAGTGTCATTTTAATTGTTTTCATTTGGTGGGGTGGGTGGGTGTTCCATTAAAGTTGTCTTTTAATAAAATTTTATTTCGAAGTATAATTGTAATAAATAAATAAAAAAGAAGCGAAAAATGAGAGGTTCAAAGAAATTAGGTAGGTGCTAATAGCAGCCATCTAATTTATTTCCATAAGGGCATTTTATTTACTAGATAGATTACAAATACACCCTTAAAGTTTGCTTAAAATACGAATTGCCCCATTTGATTTTGAAAATTATAAACACTCCATTGCTAGTATTTTTTATGTAATAAAATTAATTGAAAAAATAAAATTCTTAATTGTTATCCTATACAATAATAAAATTACCCAAATTATTCATTGAAATAAATTTCTAACATCATCAAAAACTATTAATTGGCTTGATAATTTATTAAAAATAGGGGGCGTTTATTATGAAATTAGAAATTTCAAGGGGTCAGATGCAAATTTTAAAACCACGAGAGACAATCATATTTTAAGCAAATCTTAATAGGTATATTTATAATTTATCTATATTTATTTTACAACAAAAGTACTATCTTCAAATTAGGAGTGGCCACCAACCCGCCCAACTTACCTAATTTATATAGGGTTTGTAATAAAATTTTGATCTTGTTTAATTTTTAGATTGGGTTTAAAATAAAAAATTCTAACTCAACTCAACTAGTTTTAAAATTAATTTTAATTATTTAGTTACTTAATAAACTAAAAATATATAAATAAATTATATTTTGCACCCTTAGACTACATCAAATCTCATTTTGGTCTCTTATTTATTAATTATAACAAGCAACTTCTTCCACTTTTGATGAAGTTACAACGTAGTTCTTCTATTAGTTTTTTTTTTTTTTTTGAACTAGGTTCTTCTATTTATTGTTTTTGTTACTATACTTGTTGATTGAACAATCATTTTTGTTATGTTGAACAATTGAAATAGTCGATTTTCAATTTTTTTTTATTTTGTTTTATGATTTCACATTACAGTGTAAATGTTTACATTGATATGAGTTTATTTTTTTAAGGCTAGTTATGTGTTAATTGTAAACTGTGAATATTTACCTTGTATTTTGGTATGAGTTTTGTTTTTTTGAAAGTTAGTTGTATGTTTATTTTTTATTGTAAACATTCACATTGTATTTTGATTTTCGTTCAAACGAAGGTTTGGGGGCCAAAGCGCACAGTCCGAGGCCCCGAAAACAGGCTGTTAGGCACCGAAAGTGGCGTATGACCACGAATGTGGTGTGTGTGAAATATATATGTGAGAAAATTTTCTTCTAAGTAATAAATAGTTTTGAAAAACATGAGAAAAATAAAGAGTCCTCCTGCATATAGTTTCACCAAGTTCACATTTAAGGAAGAATCAACTTGTTTTAGGGTCTACATCTTTCAATTGCAAATCAAATTCTAGGAAAAAAAAGTAGAGTGTGTAAGAATATTGATAGATCTTTTGGAGGCATATATTAGTTAATTAAAAAATAAAATTATTTAATTGTTATAAAATAAAATAAAATAAAATAATTTTTTTATTTAATTTACCCAAAAATAATTAATATTAAAGACATATTTAGTATTGCTATTGCTATTACTAAGTTCACAATTGAAAAAGGATACAATAGTCTGTTAAACATTTATCATTATTAATAATATTCCAATCAAACATTGGATTCAATAGAATAGTTATTTCTAGACATCTAATCTATTATAAAACAAACATGGGATACACATCTTTTCTAACTAAATAGTCCAGGGACTATATCAGGATTAATAGTCTGATAGATTACAATCTCCATTTATCCAATCCGTCCAAACATACATGACTGAATTCACTATTCCTTGATAGTGAAATTTCACTGACTTAATGTTAGTGAAATTTCACAGCAATCAACTAAAATTCAATGAAGTCAAAAGTTAGAGAAATTTCACTACAATTAGTGAAAATTCATAATTTTCAATTTTTTTAATTGATAGATAAAAACTGCAAAATTAATAGCTAATTGAAATTTTAATTGACTAAAGTAGTAGAAATTTTATTAAAGTCAATGAAATTTTAGTATAATTGACTAAAATTAAGGGAAGTTAGAAAAATTTCTCTAACTAGAGTCACTAAAGTCCATGAAATTTCACTGTTTAACAATAATAATAATTAATTGATGGATAAAAATGAAAAGAGTAAGGGCTATTTGAAATTTTTGGAGTTCTATTATAAAAGCCAAAATAAATAAAAAAAAAATAAAACAAAAATCTTTTAGAAAACATGGTTCTCTCTCTCTCTTTTTTTTTTTTTTTTTTTTTTTTTTTTTGTTACAGGAAAATCCTCCCACTCTCCTGCAGGTCCAAGGCAGCGCCCCTTGAGGAGATCACCAGGGTGTCCTGTTGTCCGTTCCGAGTAAGAGATTATAACCTGGAAGCTTGTCCCGACCTCCTAAGGCAAGCTCCGCTTAAGTCAGGACTCGCACAGCGGGGGAGAATTAAACCCACACCAAGTAACTGATAAGGCATCATTGAGGTCAACCTCCTAACCAACTATGTTACGCCCAGGAGATTGGCCCAAAGGGGAGTTGAACCCAGGACCTAGGGGCTTAAACCCCAGGCCCTTACTAGGTTGCCACTCACCTCTGGGTTAAAATAAAATAAAATAAAAAAAAAAAACATGGTTCTCGACTATGACTTCAAGCTCTATTTCAGAGTGCACAACATTCAAAAACTTTTGCAATGGTACTATTAAGGTAAAATAATTTTCTTACTTTTAAAATAGACACACTAAACTTATGTTTTCCATGACAAGGTCAAAATAAGGAAAATGAAAACTATAAATCAATAACCCTTACTTTTGTCTAAAAGTTAAACAAAAATTGCAAAATTATTGGGTGCTCTCCTAATACCATGAGTCTAATGGCATGGTTAGAAATTTCATTTAGTAGGGTCATTCAACAAGTTATCATCAATGTTTTCATGTTATATTTTTAGTTTTACACAATTTATCAACATTAACATTCCCAATTACATTTGTTAGATTTTTGTAATTAGCAATATTGTTTGACAAATTTTCTTGTAATTGTAATTTTATTTGCTCTTTTGTTTCAGTGAGACTATGCGAATCCAACCCAAATTGTGCTTTTGTTTGCCACTTCACTGACAATTTACAGGTATCATCTAGTACTTTTACAGAGCAGACTGAACTTTTGAGAAAATCCGTTTTGTGCTTGAGCGATGGACACGCGTTTTAGTGCATTTTAGTGAGTTTGCTCGAGTGATGAAGTGGTCGTTTGAGCGGTCTTCGGGGCTCTATTTTCTATAAAGTGCGCCGTTCACTGTTTTCAGGGTTTAAGCCGTTCAAATTTCGAGAGAGCAAAGCGACCAAGGTTTTTTTTATATTGGAGGGTAAATGTTTCCTTGATGATTTGAGAGTGATCAATAGATCTATGGACTTCATATTAACATTATCAAGGGGTTTGCTTGTTTTCTTTTATTCATAAAAGAGAGTGGTGTTTTTCGGTAGATTTCGAAGAACTTCAGCTTGAAACTTTAGTGGATTTTGGAGTGGCTCATCGTCATGAATTCGACATTGGCGTTGTAGATTCAACGTTGGGCAAGATAACTCCTAGGTTAAAATGGTGGTGGAAGAGACACATTGGGGTCGGTTCAATTGGGACATGGATTCGCTAAGTAATTGAGAGTACACTTGTCGTCTTAGTTGATTGTTTTGTGACTTTGGCCTGTGATTTTTTTATATCACAGTTGGAGGCACTTCAATTATGATTTTTTTACGTTAAATCATTGTGTTAATTATTTTTAATTGTTTGATTGAGATTATTGTTCTTTATTTAAAATTGAAATATAATAACAAATCAATATTTCGAATTTTTTTAGATTTGTCAACATTTGACAAAAATGATTCAAGCTAGTCAAATTATAAATAAAACAAACAATTAGTGCTAGCTTCAATCACTACAAGAATTAACACTTTTGGCAACAAAAAAATTGGTCGCAAAAAGTCTATTCTTGGTCGGCAAAAGTTATCCGCGACCAATTTTTTTGGTCGCTACTTTGGTCGCCAATTGAGGGTCGGCAAAAGTAATTCGCGACCAAAATTTTGGTTGGTCGGCAAAAGTTGGATTTGCCGACTAAATTTTTGGTCGCTAAATATTTAATTACCGCGACTAATTTATTTTGTCGCTAAAACACTTTGGTCGCGAAAAGTGATATTTTCCCGACCAAATATCTTAGTCGCCAATTGACACATTTTGCGACCAAAAAGTTTGGTCGCCAATTCTCATATTCAACGACCAAAAAGTTTGGTCGCCAATTGTGACATTCCACGATCAAAAAATTTAGTCGCCATATGTTACTTTTCGCGACCAAAACTTTTGGTCGCCAAAAGTGAGTTTCCACGACCAAGAGCTGTTTTGGTCGGCAGTAGATGTATTTTTTGCGACCAAAACTCTTGGTCGGCAATTGTCATTTTTTGCAAAAAAAAATTATTCTGCATCATTCATGATGGGTATCCAGTCTTCAATTGTCATTTCTCTAGGTCAACTGCAATGCATCTTGCAGATCCTGAGATGGCCTTCATGATGGGTATCCAGTCTTCAACAGTTCCAAGAAACCCATGGAGAAACACAAGTACATTATTCTGCATCATTCAAATTAAGAAAGAGTGATAAAGAATAACCACACCTAACTCAATTTCAGCATGTCTAACCAGTGGTGCTGCAAATGGAAAGCCATTTTAACAAGTGAAAAAAAGGGAAAGAAGTTTTTTAGTTACAGTTGCTAGGTATACAAAATGTGGACAGATAACCATGCAACATAGACATAACTCTTCATGTATTAGTACAAAAGATGACATAGAGAAATGTGTAACTCACTCCCCCCACATTAATGGAACTCCTCTAATTTTTTCCACCAACTATGTACAAGAAATCAAAAGAAAAAAAATGCACCCAGGAACTATTTGCTTTCCATTATTTGCAGTTAATCATGTGCCAAATTATCTGGAATTACACAGGTATTAAATACCCTAGAGCTTTTTGTGCGAATTCAATGGATCAAAGACTCTGAAGGATACAAAATATTAACTTAAAAATTAAAATTCCAGTGCTTACTTCATTGCTTGATCCAATTTGACGTACATTGATGAAAAAAGAGAAACCATATGAATTAACTGTTAACTGGTATTTATGAACTTCTTCCCCAGGAAAATTTCAAAGGATGACCTTGTTGTCGACTTGAAAGTTCCCTAAGAGACGGCCAGCATCATCAACATATGCTTCTATGAAGCCACTGCATGGATTACGACAAATATTCAGAGGTTCAGAAGTTATATCTTCTTTAAGCCAGCCGTAATTTCCAAGACCATGTGCTATAGAAGGGGAAGGTTCCTTGTTCATTGCCATACATATACCTGCCTTTTGCAGCTCAAGATAATATGAGAACTGGACATAAACTGACAAACCTGGGCTACTCTCAACTGTAGCACTAACAACACTCATCTTCCCCTGCTGCTGAGCCCAGCTTGCAATCAATGCTGCATTTTCAAAAGCCCCAACAACACTTGGTTTGATGACCTGACAAGAGTTATAAAATGAAACCAAATTAGGTTCATATTTCTGACTTTTTCCTTATTGAATATAATTCATGTCAAAAGATGAATAAATAATGATGGGGAAATCGTGACTGAAGAATTTTAACAGTTGCAGCAGTTTGTTGTGGTAATGGCTTTCATGTTTCACAAATAGAAAAGAAATGAAAGGCACACTATCGTAAGCATAACATGAGTTGAGATGAGTTTAATTACTAAAGTGTTTTATGCATCTTGTCCTGATTGAGGTATGCAAGAAAACCTCCAAAACAAAATTTTCATTCAATTATATGTGGTTTAAAACATATGGTTGGATTTTTTCACGAGGCTTAGAAATTGAACTTTTTGGATTGACAGCGACTAGTGTACTGTCTGATGAGGCATACACGATGATACGTATTACATGCTGCTCGTCCCAATAACTAACATAAGAAAATAAACTTCCACTTACGACAACAACTACTCCTGAGTGAGTAAACTTTGCCAGCATTCCAAGAGAATTTTCTTAGACATTTTCAATGGTTTCATCCAGTGCTACAGGTAACCCAGTTTCTTCACAGAATTTAATTATATCTTCTTCATCCTGAACAGGTTCCTGAAACAGAGTTGCACAGAGACAGCCAAATAACTAGAAACCTCCAATAAGTTATTCAAAAACTGTGTCAATGAAATACTAATAGTGATCAATGCACTAAAAGCAGTTAAATAAACACTCAAATGAAGATGAACCACAATAATAAATGGTCGATCTGGTAATATGTGATTACCACAAGTTAGTATTGTGAAGAACTAAAAATATCAAATTTTGTGTCCTATCAAATTAGTATTGTGAAGCACCTATCAAAGTCATCTTCCCACTACCAGTTCTTCCAACAATATCAATTTTGTGTCCTCTTTCAAATGTACAACTTATCCCACGAAGAACAAGTGGTGCATCAGGCTTATATCTGATCTGTTTTGACATCATGTATATATTTCTCAGTCAGTGTGCTACTATCCTTTGTCAGTTTAAATGCGAATGCAAAATCTTGAATCTCCACTTTACC